TTTAGAAGGAAACGGTAGGGGATTCGCGAGTCCCCAATTAGACCGTGTTCCGGTGCTCGTATATTTTACGAGCGAAACTCGGCGCGGGCCGGGTTTAGCGGGCCGACAACCGGGAAAAAGGCTGGCGAACGTTATCGGTGAATTTATAAGGAGCACGTGGTCGGTGTGTGCCGGGACACGCGAGGTCGTCCCGTGTTCCCTTCGATCGTTGTCTCCCGTTGAAATTCGCGTGGGCGTAAACGCGGGTGAGATCGCCGTGAATTTGTCTCGTTTATCGATCATGCCTTATCGATGACAGTTCGCGGGGGAAACATGACTCGTGGGATCCGAGGCACCGTACGCGCAGCGCCGCGCAGCGCCGCGCAGCGCGACGTGGCGCGGCGTTGTACGCGAGTCGACCGCGGGCCACCGTGACAAACGACATCGCCGCCGTTCCTCGGTTCGTGCGACGCCTATGCCGAAAGACGCGATATACAGGGTGGTCTGTTCGCTGATCCTGGAGATCCCGAGCTATCCAGATGGATCGAGTGAAATACTAATGGCCCGGTGGCTCTACGGTCTGAATATTAGGAGAGGATAAATTGGATGTTCTGCGTTGGAGTTTTCCATTGATTTAGGAGGTGAGACAGATGAACGTTGGATGGACGAAAAATTGGATAGATGTTGGATCGAGGATTAGATAGGTTGTATGTTGGACAGAGTAAAAATTAGATAGATCAGATGTCGTAGATAAGATACGAGATAGATTAAGCATCGAATAGATTGGATATCGGATACGTTCGATACCGGGCAGATTGGGTATTATATAAATTAGATACAAGACAGATTAGATATTAGATAGAGTAAATATTAGATGGATTAGGTATTAGACAGATTGCGTATTAGATATGCAGAATGCCGGGCAGATTATATATTACATGAATCAGATATTAGATAGTTTTATTTAGTTTAGATGCGAGATAAACGGGGGCATTCTACCGGCGGAAATTACAGGCCCCGGCTGCGGCGAACGTTTTAACGATGAGATTTTTCGGTTTCGTCGCGGTCCTCGTGTATTATTTAGATCGTGTGAAACGGACGGCGGTGGCATTATGTAAAGATTCCGACGTTAGTCGTCGCTCTGTTCACCTCGAAGGTATTGCCAAACGGTTTTGTCACGGAGTCGCGGGCCGTTTCGGTGCGCGAGACGTTATTCGCGGAACGAACGGTATTAATCGGAAAAATTCCGGCAGTCGTTACCGCGGACCACCCTGTATGCAGCGGAACACGCGGCAGCGTGAACCTCCCGCTGTATTAGAAGGCGCAGCCACCTTTCAATCACATCGGAGAACAGTTGTAAACCCCGCGGCGAAACAAGTGTTCCCCACAACTGAATCCTACTTAATTATTACACGGCGATTGAAAATTACGTTTAAAATAACTGTAAATAACGACGCTCGTGACTGTCGTGCGCGACGGTACGCTTAATCGCTCGCGAAAGATTTATAGATCGTGGATCCTTCACGGTGCCACTAAGAAATCACCGGTGCACGCCCGTTGAAAAAGATGACGGGGAAAGTTTGGGCGTAGCCCGCGCGGAAATCAATGCGGATACTGTATTTATGAAACGTCCAGTAACATTAACACTCTCCTACGAAATTAAACCGGCGTTGCACGTTAAGACACGCCGGGGCACACTCGCAATTTACGTTTCGGTTTCGCTTACGCCCGGGTGATTTACAGTGCCTATTATTCCCATTGTAATATCGATGCCAGCCAGACTCGGGCCGAGGTAATACCGAACGATCGGTAAAAATCCCGCGGTATTAGCTATAGCAACTTATTCATTGGAAATCGAACATCGTGATCAACCGGGGCAGTAAAAAGTACGAATAATCTTACACCGTCCCGAAGCCTGGAACGCTACTTTCATCGGATCGAACCTAAACGAAACCTTAGATCGTTGAAAAATTTCATTCGACGTCGTTCAAAGACATCACGGAATGCACCTGTAGTTTACAAACGCTGGTCGAACGCAAGAAAAACCGGAGTCGACGGAAAATAAACGAACCAAGGAAACGGCCGGACCACCCAGATCGCAGCCCCCTAAGCCCCGAATTTCAATAATCCCGGCGGCACCCCGTGTCGACCGTCCGCGGCGGGCGATAAACATCGAACGCGGGGAACCCTCGAAACGCGACAACAACGCGTGTAAATCAGACCCGTCCGGGAAACTGGGCGCCGTAAATCATGGAACCGGGAAGGATCGGCAAAAAGGCAGCGCGCCGCGTTTCTTCCCGACGCGGGGAAATTACGTTTTAATCATCGGTACAAGTGCATTAAGACCCGCGGCATAAATTACCGAGCAGGGAGCCGGGGCCCGGCCGAGCCACCGTTTCCATGTATACACGTATCCGCGCGCGAGCGAGCGAGCGCCCATGTCCGCCGCGTCTGTGTCGCAATTTGCTTTACTGCCTCGCGCTCGCGCGTCCGCGGTAACCGTTTGTGGTTTGTATTCAAATGGCCGCTGCACGCTCCTTTTATATACCTCGCGGGCCGGGTACCGTTAGATTCAATAGCTGTGCCACGGAGGCCGCCGCGGAGATCGATGTTATCGGGCCCGGCGTATCACGGGGAATCTCGCGTTATGAGTAATTCCCCTGTTTGCTCGCCGCGGGTAAACAAAGAGGCCTACTCACCCCGAGCAGGGACAGCGCCAGCTGGGTTTCATCGTTGCCCGCCTCCTCGTCGTCTCCTTGCTCGCCGTACACCGTCGAGCAACCACCCTCGGCTATCAGAGTGTCGCTCGAGTCGCACTTGTTCAGGTTCGTGTCCTCCGTGGTCAGCGTCTCCAGAGAAATCGCGCCGTTCCCCTCGTCTTCCGCCTTGCCGGCGGCGCTGACGTTGATTTGCTCGCAGTCCCTCGCGTCCTCGTACAGGGAGGATCTGCTTCTTCTCAGATCGTTCTTCCGATCTTCGTCGAGCAGCCTCGACAGGGCTTCGTCCGGAGTGTCGGTGTCCTCGTTGTTTTTAGAGGGGTTCGCGGTGGATGTAACATTGTCCTCCTCCGCGACCGTGCCGACTTCGTCGACTTCGGTGATCCTCTCCGTTGAAGATTCCTGCTGCTTCTCGCATATGACTGCTGTTTCCTCGGGGAAAGGGGACTGAGATTCTTCCAGGTACCAGGAGGTGCAGTGCTCCTGCCGCTTCTTCTCCGAGGACGCCTCGTCCCCTTTCGAGAGAGCGCCTTTGCACTTTCTCAGGTAACTTTTCACCTTCTTCGTCTTGCTCTTCCGGGACTCCTGGTTGCGGGGGAGGGTGCCGGTTTCCGAGGGCTCACCGGCGTCGGCCGGTGGCTCCGGGATCTTCGAGGACTCCGCGTCCTGGGGTCCTTTGGGTTTCGCGTCGGACAGCTCGTCGTAGAAGGGGTCGTGCGGCTCCGGGGCTAGAGTCCAGGTCTCTTCCTTCTCTGGTCCCCGACGCTCGGCCGGTATCACCTGGAACAGAACGGTGAAACGTGTTAGGGGCGTTCCTTAATTGTAACCGGCTCGATTAGGGGAGAGTAGATTTGGCACTAACAAAGCTCAAAGGAGAAGTTCGGAATATCAAAGGACTACAACTATAATACACCAGGGTTATTTCAAAGTATGAGGTCCTGACAGCTTTCCAGCCCCACGACTCCCCCTTCGTCCACTGAGCACCTGGACTAGCTCATTGCACCCCATCGTGAATACTCTCCCTTTCTCGGTGATTAGCACCCCGTAGCCTTTATCCTAATGAGACTTTCATCCTATGATCCCAGAGCTGAGTTTCTACATGTCATTCCCCTATTAACCCTTTGCGCTCGAGAGATTCTCACTTGAAATATCCAATACGTTCTAATTAGATGTAGACGAGATACTCTGAAATGAATTTATCAAGAAATCACATATAAATTATAGAACTGAAGCTATTTTCTTCCAATATACAGAGGGCAATGGTAAATACCAAAGTTTCTAATGTTGCTCTTTCAAATCATCTGGCGACTGGAAGTCGCAAAGGGTGAATACTCCCAAAAGGGGATCGACAACAATACAAGGGTGGACAATGGGAGAACCAGCAATCGGAGAAGATACGCGAATCCAGAATGAACTTGAAGAGGGGAGCCGAGGTTGACAGCGCGTCGAGTGCCGGTCATTCGATTCGATTTCGCAAGAGGCGGCCGCAGTAGGCAGCGCGCGGAGGTGCGGCGTACAACTGTATCAGCGGCTGTCCGGCGTAGTTCAGCGCCGCATAAAACAATGGGGCTTATAGTAAATATCGCGGACGGCGCCGCGGCTAATATTAACCTCGGGCGGTGCATAACGATGATATTTTACGCTACGCTTCAGCGGCACCTTCCCGCCGGCCGTGCCCATAAGATCGCCGTGAATACAACTTCCTCGCGTAATATCTCCGATTTCATAATGCCCGGCGACTTCCTGGTTTCCTGGATTCTGAAATACAACGACGCTCTGATCCCGCGAACGTGAGTCACGCGGCCTGAGTTACGGACCCGTGGAGCATCCTCCGTGCCGGCCGGCCGGCCGGGTCCTCTTGGTTCACTGTCCTCTTCACACGCGAGGATTAGCGTCATCCTGGCCCTGCCCGCGAGATCGCCGCCCTGGAAGGAAGAGAGCCGCTCCTCCTCGCCGGCGCAACAGATTCGGCCACCCATCATTCCATCCGTGGAGGAACGAACGGGAGGATCCCGTGGTCGTTGTGTCTCCTCGTCCACTACAAAGTGCGCCTTTTAAACGGCTCCGTCGTAAATCCGATCTTTAGGATGGAACACGGTTATTTTCTAAATGACGCTCGTTGCCCTGCCCGCGCTTCGTCGTGGTTCACTGTCCTCTTTATGCACCGGGAACGGTATCGCCCCGCTCGTTACTTAACGTTTCTTGCACGGGCTCTCTCGCTGCGGGCTGTCTCGATGGATTGTTAACACTTGCGACCGATGATTTGGTGCATCTACGCCCTCCGCGGGGCACCGTCTCGTTACCTATGACGTCGTCGTACGGCGAGTCGCTTTATCGAGTCGAGACAAAGAGACGCTCTCTAGATTCTTAATCCTCAATTGCTCCGTATCCATGATAACTTCTGCAAAATTATATTCTCCGAAATGTCGGGATTTAATCTAGTACCAATGTCAAGTACGAATGATTCGTTCACTAATATCGAGTCTATCCGAACGCATCCTCTACACTCACGAGAACCAATTCACACGAAGAACTCCAAAGGTCTCTCAAGGCGACGGCACGAAAATTCAAGGAAAATGCAAACTCAGCGAATCACCTCGCGAATCCCCGACGTCACGAGTATTAGGTCCGACGTTCAACGCGGCGATCGTTCACCGCGCGCGGTTAACCGGCGCGTACTCGTTCATATTTCCCCGATTTAACGCGCGTTTAACTCGGGTCCATCAATCGTCGCCGGGGTATTCAATGTAAACGCGGAAACGACGGGCGAGTATCTCTTCCTTAGCAAGTCTGACCGCTAACAGAGTCCGCGTGCTTTTGCGCGGGGGCATTCCGGAGGCGCGGATCGACAGCGGGCCCCAGCCAGGTTTAACGCGCGAGCGAGCGAGCGGCCGCTGGAAGCCCGCCGCTAGATCGAATCTCGCCGATGACGCGATAGCGAGAGATGAGGCGTGGGAGCGAGGCCGAAGAGCTAATCTTTCGAGACGCTCGTTCGAAGCGTCGTCCCCGTCTCCCGCCGTCAAGAGGGAAAGTTCGCCGCGCGGCGGCGTCTCTCGCCTCTGCGCCGCGGTAAAAATAACCGGGGAATATTAAACGACTCTGGCAGCTCATTGTGGGACGCGAATTGATGGAACGCGCGCCGGAGTACCCTTTCTCTCCGTTCCGTCGCGGATTTATCGTTCCAACCGCGCTTGTACCTCGCTTTTCCCTGTTCACGAGAGATCCGAGTTTCCCTTTGAAACGGAAGACAGTCTCGGTTCGTGGCGGAATATCACAGGCAGCCGCTAAAATCGTGGATCTTGTTCACTGGAACATAGTCTACTGTTTGGAACTTGTATATTGTTCATCGGTTGCAGTTTAAGTCAGATCTTTATAGGAAAGTTCGAAGGAATTTCCACGAGACGAACACCGCGAGTTAAAGTCGAACGGAGATTATTCTCGGTTATCCTATTTCGTAACCGCTTGAAGCTGAGCTACATCCAATTTGCATGCGCACGCATCTACGAAACGAGAAAGCGAGAGGAGAATGAGATTTGAATAAACCACAATGATGTTTCCCGTTCATAAATCTCAATAAAACGTCTTTGCGCGGGGGACACCATAAATTCGCGCGAGCCCAACAGTCCGGTTACAAGTTCTCGAAACGCGAGATCACAGAAACCGCCGTCGCGTCTCACGCACTCGCGCCGTTCCTCACTGTCCCGCGGAGGATCGCCGTTCCTCACGAGGCAACGGGTCCGATTAAATCGTCACCGGGGGACAGGGGGAGAGTAACGATCCCGGCCGCGTGATTATTCACGCGATATCTTCTTCGTCCGGGCGGGACGGAGCGGCGCGGAGCGGAACGGAGGGGACACGTGAAATCGACGCGGCGTTATGCGGTTCCGCGGCGCGCCGCTAAATCACCGCCGCGCCGGAACCGTGGGTGAGAGATGCGTGCACGGGCCGCGCCGGCGAGCACGCGTTCCCCGTGTGCCACGGGGGGACCCGTTAAGAAACGCGACGGCCGCTAGGCCACCGGTAGTAGCGGTTAACGAGAAGTTACCGATCGTCGATGCGGCGCCCCGCGACCAGCGGCTCTTATAAATGGCCACCGCGGCCGCGTGTACTTGCCAGGCCGTTGTGCAATCGCTGCCGCTAAAAGGGTGCACGGATAATTGCGCAACAATGCTAAACGAGACAATGAAATATCGTGTAATCGCCGGGCCCCGACGAGGAGACCGGGCTGCCGGTGTTGCGTACCACCGGTATCATCTTTCCGCCGTGTAGCCCGGCACGTTTCACGCGGCGGCCATTTCCTGAACCCGCCATTCGATCCTGCTCTTAGCCACCCTCTTTTGCTCGGTGCGTCGCTAAACTGTGTTGTCCCTTATTTTTCCGTTGTTCGACGCTGTGCTCGTTGGAGGTACGGTTCGTAAGATAGGATTTTGTACGCGTAAAATAGAACGGTGGAACTTGTTTCGGTAAGACTCTTTTTACTATGACCTTCGAAGACTAGAGAGAATGAGGAGGGCTCTGTTTACCGAGACTCGGGGTTGCTTCTCTTTAAACCACCGATTGAAACGCGGACAATTCGACTTTCCATTCGCTAAGATTATTAGACTTAGAGCTTTTGGATTTCTGATGATCTAGGAAGCTGAATGGTTAGTTGGAAAAAGAGGCTAGGGGTTCTCGGATCTATGATTGAGGCACTAGAAAGTTAAATGTTTGAATACTGAGAATCTAGGCGCTAGATCAATGAAAATATTAATCAGTCTTTACTCAGTTAACAAGTTACTCGAATTCATCCGAGTGTCATGATAGATAGAATCTATAGAGAAAACAATATTGACATCGAAACAAGTGACCATCTTCTTGCACATCGCATAGCGTTCACTTCTACTCCACGAAGACTCCCCGATAGAGCTACCCTCGAAAAACAATCTCACGCGCGGCGTCGGCGATTTTTACGGAATCGTCGTCGCTAAACTTTTCCCCGGAGTTCCCGGATTAAAGCGGACTTCTCCTACGCAGCTCTCTCGGCGCCGATCGCGCCACCATTACATAAATACGCGTTTCCCTCGGAAATAAGTCACGGTTTACGACGAGACATTTCGCGGATTAACACGGCACGGCCCGTAACGGTGAATTTAATCGTCCATTGGAATTAGATAACGCGCGCCGATTACAGGCCGAACTTGAACGGACATTGAGTTAAGAGTCTCCCGCCGGTTATCCGCGGCGGGTTCCTGCGGCTTTTTTGCGTATCCGCGAGCACATCGGCCAACGCGTTCCCTCGCTCCGCCGTAAAATGCCCACCTCTGCCTGAGATTATCATATATTGAAAATTTCCGATTCCGATCGTAAACCGGTGATCCCGGCGGTCTCGTTAGGGACGAAATTATGCGAGCGATTCCCCTGATCGTGTTTCGCGGCGGAGTTGACACGCTTGTAAATTTCTGGCACACTATCGTGCACAAGTATTCGGGCACGTTCCCATTACTAGACACGCATAACGATAAAGTAACGTTTTTATGGAGGATAACCTAATATAGTTTCAATTACAATACGATTTATAATGAAAACGTTAATTATGCCTGTATAACAGTCAACCGCTGCGTTCTTCGAATGTATCTCACCCAGACACGTTCTCATTTTCTCTGTACTAATTTACCTCACCTTTCTCAGTGCATTACCATTTCGTCGAGAGTGTCTCTAAACTCGAGAATAATATACGAAGACTAAGTAGATTATGCATTCCTACTTTTGAATGATACGTCGGACACACAGAAAAATTGTGG